GTAATAAAACATATTGAGTCCAGCAATGTGTGCCTTTTACCCACTTAAAAACTTTTGATAAAAGGCCTTACCTTGATTTTTTTTTTTTACCTACTTAAAACCTAAGAAGTTTCATAAGGGAATAGATCAAGTATTAAAGGCTGTCCCCAAGAAGTATATAGCATGGCACTGAGAATACGAGCTGTTTCCTGCCAGGGATGACAAGACAACTGGGCTATAGATAGATCTGCTGCTGGCAAAAATGTTCCTGTTCATCAGATCATTGCTATTTAAGGCATTTTCCCATTGGGGTTTGTACTGCAGAAAATGAACATATTCAAACTAGAGTATAAATCCTCAGTGATTATATTTAAGAATTTGGAGGAATCTCCTTTTATAAAGTTGAAGAGAATATCCTGAGGTGACAACGTATTTTTAGGAAGACCTTATGGCTACTCTAGTAGAAAGATGGAAAGAGAGTTTCACATCTGTTGATAATACTTATCAACTTCAGTACCTAAAGCCATGTTATTAATTTCTGAGAGGATTTTAAATAGCAAAAACAAATTCAGGAATCATATACTCATTACATAATATACTAATTGAGACTTTTACAAACTTGGGTTCACTTAGTAAAAGCACTTTCATTATATTGTGTATATATCTGTGTTCATCCATGCATTTTTCAAGCATCAACCACATTTAAGATGATGAGGTATAATGGGAAGTTCACAAGCGCTATGTGATGGATGAATGACTTACTGAGTAAGTTTCTTTTGCATTTAGAGCTTAGTTCTCTTATTTAAAAGAAAAGAAAAAGTACAGGATGATTGATGGAAAGGATGAAATGATACATGTAAGAGTACTCAGAACAGCTTTTAAATTAGAGTAAACCTTCAGTTGGTATCAGTCCCCACTCTTTTCAGTTGCTCAGAGTCCATCAATATGTACCAGGTTTTATTAGCAAATACCAAAGATGATTTGTACTTCTTTTCTGTGCATGTGACCCCTCTTTGGTGGTCCTTCCTGTCCTCACACTGTCCCTCTGGTTTTCAAAAAGATCAAGTGTAGGTTATTGTGTGGTGATTTATACAACCAAGTGGAGTAGCTTTCCCAAAATTTATATGGGAAAGTTAGGTATTTGCCTGCTTATCTAACAGAAGAGATTCCCAAGACATGAGTTCTCAAGACAGTTCCAAAGACTATTCCATTCTGTTTAACTTAGCATGTCCACTGCTTTCTTACAGCCTCCCCCAGCTAGCAGTGCATATTCTGTTAAGCACATTAAAATATTATTGCTAAAACACCGGCTTTTCTAATGTGTTTAGTGAAGTGTGCTGTTGTCCCCCGCCACCATTACTGTTATGATGATGAGTTGGTAGGTTTCTAGTTTTATACATTGTGTTTTCATTTATTTGGGTTTATCTTCTTAACTTATCTTGTGACCTGCTTGCTTGGTCACTTCAATATTTTCCCTCAGGGTAGCAAGAGGTCTGGCATACAACACATCATTTCACCTTGTGCATCTAGTGACTGTTCAATTTGATTTCCTATTAAAATTTTATGTGTGATGAGTGACCAGATTGCTATGATTTATCCCTTCCACAGGCTGCTCTTCATCTTATGGCAGGATCCGTTCTGGGTTTTTTTTTTTTTTTTTTTTCAATTTTAGTTGGAGCCTCCCTCCTCTGTGCCTCCCGTACACTCAGTTTGTGTTGCTGTTACAGTGCAGACTTCTCGAAGTGGTAGCCATCTGCTTGTGTGTCTCTCATACCCAGTGAACTGTGAGCTTCTGGAGTCCAGGGACTCTATCTAATACCTTATTTATCTTTGCATCCCCCGTGCAGACAGCACCTGGCATGGCACATGGTTGGCACTTAATATCCCGAGTGAATTTATTCTATGGAGATTTGTTCTGACTTATCTTTGTGCATTGCTCGAAGAGCTAAAAGTTGTTTGGGGGCTGGCACCATGTTTGGGGCTGTATTCGTCATGTCTGGGCCTCGTTTGTCACATACACAATTGTAATTGGAGTGTGTAGTTGCTTCCTTCCCTGACACCAATTTTCTTAATCTCCTTTAATATGATACCCTCTTTGAATAGCTTCCGCATTAGCATGAGGATTATATATTTTCAATAATTAGTAAAGCTATTAAAAGAAGAGCCCTTTGGGACTGCCTGATTTACCCACTTCTACCCTTAGTGTTTGGAAAATCTCATGGCATTGTTTCCTCTCTGTTATTTTTGTATCTGCTTCATCCAGATGTCTCTAAATTCAGCCCAGTAATCACATTACTGGTATAGGAGTGTCAACTGTGTGTCCGGGTTAGGAGATGGCCAGGGCACACCACCTGTGAGAGGCAGGATGATACATATGTGGTAGACATATGCAGAGGCTGCCCCTGGAGCACAGCGGGGAGCACCTCACGCACACCTGTGGAGGGAGTGAAGGCCTGGGGAGGTGGTCACACTAGACTCCAGGGAAGAGCGGTTCTTGAGGTGAGACCTAAGAAATAACCTGAAGAATCACAGGTAACAGGGGGAGGAGGCTTTTTTTGTCAGAAAAGAGGCAAGAATAAAGGTAAAGGCTTGAAGAGCACTGTGCTCGGAGCATGGGGGTGGGTGAGATTGCGTGAAGTCAGGGAGCGTAGGGCAATGAAGCCTGAGCCTGGAAGGCTGTGGTATTATATGCCCAGACTTGATCCTGTCAGTTGGAGGAAGCAGCTTCTATGTCAACATTTTGTCCACTTGTGTTGATTTCTGGCCAAGATTCCTATAGTGAGGTGGGTGGTCAAGACCATGGACTTTGGAATCGAACTGCCTGGGTTCGAGTCCTGGCTCTGCCACTTAATTGCTGTACAACTTGGAGAAATTTTGTCCTTCGTTTCCTCATTGTGAATACAGAGATTATAGTAGTACCTCTTTCATTAAAATCGTTACAGAGATTAAATGGGGCTGCATTCTGATACACCCACAGAATGGCAGTTGGCACTTGCTGTCCCTGAAACTAAAACTCATAACTCTCTGGTAGGCCCCAAAGGTCAGTTAGCTCCTTGCAGAAGGCTAGACTTTCTTTTTAAAATCAGTTTATTTTTTGAAATCGAGTTTGTTATGTGGTCTGCTTTTGCCTTTTGTTTTTAAGCTTCTGAAAACACAAAGTAGCTTTATTGGCTCACTTTCTCCCTTCTAAACTGGAGGAATATGGATTTTCTTAGAAATTGTAAGCTTTAGGCTTCAGGATGGAGGGGGTATTAGGAGTAAAGAATGAAGCTGGATGGTGGCGATGGTGTTGTCTTCCCATCTGCCACCCAGGAAGGATCAAGAGCAGGAGTCTAGAGAGATGTTAGCTTCCTGAGGTTCTTGAGCCACTAATTTAATCTAGGCTAACATAGAGCAGACTTTTCCTTTCTGATGCTTAGATTCTGGAAATAATGACCCCACGCCTTCACTGCTCCGTAGCATGGCATCACATACAAAGATTTTGAAATGAATTTATCTTACTGTGATTTCAAGGTATCCACCCTGTAAAAAGTTTACCTGGCTTTTATAGCCCCCCATTCGTCGGACAATATTCCAGAAATGCTAGCTTCAGTGCCCTCAAGGAGTTGCCAATCTCTTCCATTTAGATATTCTGGAATCCTTATATCATCAGTCTTTGACAACTGACTCATTTCAAATTTCCCTGAAACTGCTTTTTGTCGCTAGCTAATCATATAGACTAGAATACCGATGGCAGTTAAAACATTTGTTTTTATTTTTGTTTTTTTTAAAAAAAAAGATTGATTTCTAGGGGCGCCTGGGTGGCTCAATCCGTTAAACGTCTCTCTTCGGCTCAGGTCATGATCCCAGGGTCCTGGGATCCAGCCCCACATCAGCTCCCTGCTCCGTGGAGAGTCTGCTTCTCCTTCTTCCTCTCACTCTGTGGTATCTCTCGCTCTCATTCTCTTGCAAATAAATAAAATCTTAAAAAAAACTAAAAGATTAATTTCTAAAAACTAGACATTATTAGGATTATTTTGGGAAGTAAATTGTTTTAAAATAGTTCCTTTTTCGGGACACCTGGGTGGCTCAGTCAGACTCTTGGTTTCAGCTCAGGTCTCCATCTCAGGGTTGTGAGTTCAAGCCCCGCATTGGGATCCGTGCTGGGCATGGAGCCTACTTAAAAATAAAAAAAATAAAATAAAGTAAAATAACATATTTCCTTTTTCATAAACAGAATATTGGAAACCCTCGCAAATCACATTGTTATGATCAAAATAGAAATGTTTGATATGATCCAATATGAAACTAAACACATAAGGCCATCAGTCACTTCCTAAAATTATTTCTTATGAAAGTATTGCTCTTAAATTCTTGGTTTCTCTATTTTGTGTTTCCTTTCGGATGGGTCGGCTTTGTAATCAGTGAAGGTGCATGCCTGTCTTTAGGCAATAGCCTAATCTCTATGGCCATATGTGCAAAGGCAGTATAATTACAATGTAGTATTAATTGGGCCATGTGACTGTTTTGTTTTAATTATTGAAATCATCTTATCTTTCCATTCCTTAAAGCATGTTAATGGGTGAATCACTGGATAACATGTTTATGTCATTTCTATGGAATTAAATATGTGCACATTTACATAAACTTGGTAAAAAAAATTCTGCTTCCTTTGATAATGTTACAGATAGTTTTTTTTTTCTGTGTCTCAAGCATCACTAGAAGCCTGAGGAAATCAGATATTATAAAGAATTGATTCTTTACATTCTGCCTAATTTATAGAGTGCAGATTGGATTATAGATTTCTGGCTGAGGAGGGTGTCACTCTGGGTTGACGTAATAAGTTGGTAGAAAATTTTAGATTTACTTGTTAACGAACCAGGGATTTCCATACTTTTAATGCACGTTCTCTTTAAATGATTTGGGTAGGAAATTTAGTGATGGGTACCCATTTTTACCAAATACAAGTGCTTGGCGACTGTATGTAGAAACTGGCATTTATCTGTGTTCAGATTTTAACTTTTGTCTCCCTATTTTTTCAGTTGTTTTTATTTCAGTTGCTGCGAGGGCTGTCTTACATCCACCAGCGTTATATTTTGCACAGAGACCTGAAACCACAGAACCTTCTGATCAGTGACACGGGGGAGTTAAAGCTGGCAGATTTCGGTAGGAAAGCAGTTAATTACCAGTCTATTTTGTCACACTGTGAGAATGCCAGGCAGATGGTGACACTGCATTTGTTTAGGTTTGCTTCTTCTATCATTGTAGATCATGGGTAACATTTTTTTGAGGCTTGGAGGAAATTTTTTTTTTTTAATGATCAACATCATGCTTCGTGGATTTATTAAAAATTCACACTGCTTGTTAGAGTCTTGAATAATCATAAGCACAAATCAGGTGTCATATATTTCTAAAGGAAAAGTCAGTCCAATTTTGAGCATGAAATATGTTGAAAGAAATCTAAATTTTTCACCTTTTACTAATAATGCAAAATGTCAAACCTATTCCAAAGTGGAAGGATAGTGTAAGGAACCCTCATTACCCATCACCCAGCTTCCACAATTAACAATCTATTGTCAGACTTGAAGAAACCTGAATTTGGACTTTTGGGAGGCATCACAAAATATACTCAATAGTACATATTGCCCTATGGTTTTAATAACTTAGAAATCTAGGGCCAGGGTTAAGTTTTCCAGAAATGACTGTTTCAAGACTTCTCAATAACTTTACAAAAGTAGACACTGATTCCGATTTAAAAGTTGTGGTTTTCAGTCATTGTAAGTCATCCCTTCCTTAAATTTTTGAGGTTGGCCTCTTCCAGCTTAGAAGCTTTCCTCCAGACTCTGTTTTGACTCCACAAAGGGGAGCAAAATTGTATCCTCGCTGCTAGCTCTCCTCCCCTCATCAAGTGTGACATTCCTCCTTCGCCCTGGCTCTGTCATAGCAGAAAGGGTGCTGAGTCGATTCCCAGCACCAGGGGATGCTGATGGCAGCATGATATGTTGATATTGCATTGCCTCAGTTATTTTTGAATACATATTCTGATTAGAAATTTGTTCCATTAAGAGTGGAATAGAAATATTACCCTTGGGACATAAACATGCCTGAGGTTGAGATACAGGTTTTTGATGAAATATGATTATCTTTTCCCACCCCACCTTCCGATAAATAAAAGAGCAAGAAATGTCTGTTTCCTGTACCAGGGTTAGGAGACTGTTCAGTACCTTTGGAATGAATCTACTCTGTTGGGTTTTAAATATTTTTTCCTTCTAAAATTGAAATAGAACAAAAGTTAGCATAATGAGTGATATATTGCAAAAGTGTCATTTGTTCTCATCTTGTTGGTAGAAATGATGAAACTCTGTGTGGGTGTGTGGTTTATTGCCAGATTTTAGCATCAAAATAATACAAGGTGGCCAGACATAAAAGTCTTTCTATTACAGAGTAGAAAATAATGGGAGAGTAGGTGGGTGGAGGAGAGATTTGTGGTTCCACAAATAGAGGGTTATTGGATTTGCTGTGAACATATTTTGTGGTTTGTCAATTATCAGTAAATTAATAAGGCTTCATAGTGATTTTCTTCTGATGTTTTAGTATACTGTGAGATATATGTTGGAGTAAGTAATTGCATTGAACATTTAATTCTATTGAACGTGGTTTTCTTGTGCATTTGTAAAATACATTTTACAAAGTTGATTTTGTTTATATGATGAAGGGTATAATGGGATTATATGTAAGTGCTTACTGGGGATTATTTGTTAATTTTGTGGCGATGTTTTTATTATAATTGTCAGGTAAGTTCATCTTAAAAGATTCTTTTGGATCTTTAAAACTGACATTTTATAATATCAGATTCAAAAATAGATTGAAATGCAGTTTTAAACAACTTAGGAAGTATTTTAGAAAATTAGAAAATTGAGAGATACTCAGAGCAAACATTCACATTTTCCTTGTTTCTTTTCCTAGTACCTTTACTCTCCTCCTCCAGGCTCTTCTTTTTCAAAACCTTTTCTTTAGTAAACAGTTTTCACCCATGAATAATATGCCATGCACATTTTCTCATGTTGTTAAATGTGAAAAAAAATCATTTCTAACAGCTTAGATTTTTCCTTTCATAGCCCAAACCTCGTCTCTTTATTCAGTTCCTTACCAATGACCATTTAAGTGCTTGCTGCATTTCCCTCTCGGGGACAGTCCTGCGCTGAAAGGCCTTGTCGGGGAAGCTGTGGGGGCCACTTGCAGTGTCCGTATTCTAAAGCCTCTGATTCCTTGCACCAGACCGTTCTGCAGAAAGGTGTGCCACGCACCTCTCCCCTCAGCATCACGGATTGAGTCTCCTTGCCCGGAACACACCCTTGGCATGCGTCCTGTGCATGAAGTATAATAAGCGAGACTCATCCACCAACTGACAATTTCCCCCCAATTAATTGTGCATTATTTTTGTCTTTTAATTTAAGACATGCAATTAACTGTGATTTACTGCACTTGGGCACATGTTTATGTCTGAGCTGAAGGAAGCACAGTAGAAGCTGTGGAGAAGCTAGACAGTCAAAATGGGATGGTTCCAGGCAGCAGAACAATTAGAAACACCAGCTCTTAATTCAGACTTTGATGTATAAAGAGCTTTAGAAGCAGTTCTTTTGTCCTTTTTTTTTTCTTGTGTGAAAATTGATTAAAAGAGACAAATGAAATCTGTCTGAGTACAGGTCCCATGTTGTGAGTGTTACTGTTTTTATTAGAAAAACTACTTGGGGAGTGAGGGGGGAACACTGAAATTTATTGAATTTATTCTGAGTGCCGAACACTTAGAAATTCTTGTTTCACTGTCTCTTCAATCTAGTAAGGTATATTAACCCATGTTTTTGAAAGAGACCTGAGTTCAGAGAGGCTTGACCGCACAGGTAACTGGTTGCAAAGCTGTAATTCTTCAGTTGCTCTTGCAGTGCACTGAAATGATTGTGTTCATTGGTTTATCTGTTTAGTTTTTTATTCCAGAACTCGATTGTAAGTTCTGTGAGGGCAGGGACTCAGCTTGTCTTTCTCACTCTTGTCTGTGCTGTGTCTAGAACCATGCTTAGCACATAGTAGGCATTCAGGAGATACTGGTTGAATGAATTAAAAATATGTATGACTAAATTGAGTATTAGTGTAAAGACTAAGACCCACTGAGGCTCTTGGGTGTCATGATCTCAGGGTCCTGGGTTCCAGCCCCGCATCAGGCTCCCTGCTCAGTGGGGAGTCTGCTTCTCCCCCTCCCTCTGCCTCTCTCCCTGCTCATGCTCGTGCTCGCTCTCTCTCTCAAATAAATAAATAAAATCTTTAAAAAAAAAAGACTAAGACCCACCTGAATTTACTAATTTCTGCTGCTTTGCTTTGGTAAACCAGCAGTTAACAAACTAATTTTCCCTTCATCAGTGCTACCTTGGCTGGGTATAGTCAAAAGTTAAGAACTTGCTAGTGTTGGAGCCTCAGGATTGCTTTGAAGCTTAGGCCCTACATACCTGCTTAGTATTTACTATGTATGTGACCTTGGGCTGCAGAAATACAGGTCACTGAGTGAATGTAAACGTGCACAGAAGGTGTCTACGATTTGCAGTTCCTACTCTGCTGGCCTTAAATGATCATCTCATTACATTGTTGTTTTGGGCAAAATGTGTTGAACATTGAATTAAGAGAGCTGGCTCTGTCTATAACTAGCTTGTGACTTTCACGAAGTCATTTATCCTTTCGGATCCTTAGGCTCCTCCACCAAAAAATAGGAGCATCAGACAGGTACTTTCCAAGATCCTTTTCAGTGCTGTTTTTTTTTTTTTTTTTTTATGTTGTCCGTTTCTGAAACTATTAATTTATTTTCTAATAACCAGATATTTGCTGGTGATTAAAAATTGGTCCATTGAATCTTGAATCAGTACTATACCATCCCTCCCTTGAATCTAATATTTTTTATTTTATCTTCTGGAAATTCAAACAGATGAGAGCCACAGTTTTATAATATGCACTGGGATCACATTAAAAGAAAATTATTCAAGTATGACAAGTAAATGCATAAATAAATTCACCGAGAAATTAATGTTCATTTGCAGTATAATAGTATGAAACTTAAGGATATATTTCCATGTAAATGAGATTAAAACAAAATAGATGAGTCTATAGACTTTCCTGCAATCCCTATAAGACAAGGACGGTGTCATCCACATTTCCCTGCTATTCTCCCACCGTTCTAAAGGGTCACGCCTAACTCTATGGAAAGACAGCTGGGCCGAATTTGGCCCTGAAGAAATGAGACAGTGAGAAGTCCGTAATGTAAGCACGTAAGCTTTTGGCTTATGTATGTATTTTATATATATATATATGTGTGTGTTTGTGTGTATATATATACACACATATATAATAAATAAATTTTTATTTATTTATTTATTTATTTTTACTGACTTTCCTAATGCAGGAACCTTGTTAAACAGATCTGTGGTTTTAATCAAGGAAAATTGGATGGGTCTCTTTCCCACCAGAGGTGTAAAATATTACCTTCCTAATGTTGGCAGTTTCCTCCTCCAGGCTATTCCCTGTTCCTCGTCTTGATTTAAGGAAGGAAATTATTGTAAATCACATTTTAGATTAATTTGCAGAACACACCAGAGAAGGAACTCTACCGAGGCCGTGGCGAGCCCGGGGTTTGTTGGTGATGTGCCTCTCCGAATTCGCGTGGGGAATAGTGGAAAACAGAAGGAAATCAGCTGCTTTCAGATGCAGAGTAGAGTCTGTCAGTTTGATAAATAGAAAGCGTCTGAATAAATGCCTGTTGGTTCCCAAAGTATAGACCTTTAACTATTTTTTTATCATTAGCATATAAAATTCACCATGGAAGCCATAGTTACAAATTCAAGGTTAGATATAACTTAGTCCATTTGTTTGGTCTGTAGGATTCATTTTAACTCTGTCTTTGTTTTGGAATGTATTTTCTATAAACAGAATTAACTATATTTTCTAGTGAGGTGTCACTCTGCTTTTATAAGGCTTTCTTTCTCAGCAGTTTAACGCATGAGCAGTTCTAATGCAACGTTCAGACAGTTGTTTTCATATACATCTGAAAACTGAAGAATATTTTTAGAGCAATTGCTGCAATATGAACCAAAGAAAGATCTATTTTTTCCCTAATTTTTCTAGAC